TAATTGAAAAATTCCCTCAACAAAATCAACAAATTCCTCAAATGTAGCCTGAGAGATGCTGCAGCTACAGATGCTTAAACTTTAAGCTAATATAAGTTACCTTATTGGTAGGGCTTCCACTAAATCTGATAAAATACTAATTTTGTCTGTCAAACTGTTTTGTTTTTTTAAATTTATTGAACTTACCTGAACAAATTGTCTTTGTGATGGATGTTTTGCCCCTTGCTCAGGATGGAAACGCTGTAAAGGCAATATGAGCTTTTCATGTCGGTTGAAATCAATAATAATTGATTAGCTTTTGATTTTAGATATCTGGAATACTCCCAAACTATCGATGTGACCTTTCCTGTTTCATTTTCTCCTTTTCGTTGTTTATTTTTAGGCAGTTAATGAGGCATAGTGGTGAAACCTGAAACTGCTGCTGCCCAAGTTACTCTAACAAGATGTTGCTAGGTAACCAAAGAGTGAGTGAGGGAGTCGTTGCCAGGTAACCAAAGAGTGAGTGAGGGAGTCGTTGCCAGGTAACCAAAGAGTGAGTGAGGGAGTCGTTGCCAGGTAACCAAAGAGTGAGTGAGGGTGTTGATTCTACTGACTTTGCTTAGCTGGCTGTGAGTTTGAGTTTGGGTTTTTTTCTGGGTCAGAGATCTACGGGACGTTGATATTGATATCGTGTTTCTGTCGCAGTATATATTGTTTTTGATTTATTGCCCAACATATTTAGCAGTCAAATGATTAGAAAACGAGTGGTGGTCACTTTCCCAGGAAAAGGGAGTTCACCTTATCAAGCTGGTTTAGTCATTCAGTGACTTTTCAGCCTTAATCCCATGAAAGCAAACAGTTTCGTGAGAGCTTTTTACTGTAACCCTCTGTTGTTGTGTTCCAGTGCAGGTGGTGCACAAATTCATCCAAGCCTGATTATTTTCAGAGACAACGCCCCGAGTTCAATGAGGATAAAATCCCAGAACACCAAATTCCTTCATTACAACTCACTGACATGTCAACAATTAAACATAAAGCGGGACGGACCCTTGCTGCGTTGTGAGAACTTCGCCGAGCGCGGAGGTAGCAGCCCCCGTTTCCACAGCGACGTGTTCGGCCATTCGGCGTCTGACCCAGAGGAGCAACATCTGCGGTGAAGTCACACCGAGGAAGCCGGAGCTCGAAGTGACGAGCCGAGCTGTGGGAATTCTGGAAGACACGCTTTGGCTGCGAGGAAAACTGAGCAAAGTTTGTGTCCAAGAAGCAAAGCTGCCAGGAAGCCAGTCACCAGCTTCTGATTCCAGGATTTTGTGTTTGGAATCAGATGTGGGTCAAAGAGGACTTGGAAAATATTTCCTACTTCACCTTGAGCTTAAATAAATTTTACAATATCAGCAGAATAATCTTCTTAACGCCAAACCGAGGGGTTTTAAGATGCTTATATTCGCAAAAAGTAAATATTTAGATTAATTGTTCTTGTGATAACATCTTACCCTTAATTTTTTTTTTCCACATTATCGTGTTTTGACCACAGACCTCTTATCTGACTACACCTAAAGCTGACAGACCAGGCAAAGTGAAGGAATTTATCAAGGTAGCAGCCAAGATGGCCTTAGTAACTCTGGATGAAATTCAGGTGGGAAAATCTGTTGATAGAATAATCTGTAATGAAGAGGATTTGTCTTAAATATTTGAAATACTGCCAAACTAGTGATGTGACCTTTCCTGTTTAATCCATAGTCTGCTCTCAACTTTTGATCTCAGAATTCTGACTTTTGATCTCAGAATTCTGGCTTTTGATCTCAGAATTCTGACTTTTGATCTCAGAATTTTAACGTTTGATCTCAGAATTCTGGCTTTTGATCTCAGAATTCTGACTTTTGATCTCAGAATTCTGACATTAATCTCAGGATAGGTTAGAAAAGATAATATTTTGAGGACAAAATACAAGAACATTTTGAGAAAGTCATATTTTTTCTATCCCTGAATCCTCTGGTGTTGTAATGAAAAATTCAGATCAAATCCCGTTAATTTTTAAAATTAGCCCAGACAAAATTCTATTGAGAATCTGTGACGAGACTCAACCGTTTCTGAGAGACACTTATATTTTACTCTGACTGAGACTGAGCCATTTTGAAAATTAGAACAGCAAATGTTAAATGTAATTGCAACAAAAGTTGGCTCTTTTCTAAAAACCGTTCAATAAAATCCCCCCCAAAAAGCTGCATGTTTAAAGCAGAGCAGTTTAAATTACAGTTAGTTGCTTTTTTTTTTCACAAGCCATTTGAGTCCGATTAAACTCCACAGACACTTATCCATTTAGAGTTCAAGCGAAAGTCTTATTACATTCTGGCTCTTTACCACTTTCTTACTGTTTTTCTCTTCATAACCCAGTTTGCACGCAGACAGGCACACGCCACGCGTTGCAGGAGCTGCCACTGCACAGCATGTGTGCAGTGGTGCAGGCTAATGCTTTCCAGGTGTCCACAATGCATAACATGCAGAAAGAACAGGCCATTGTTTCAGATGGGCTTCCTTATAAGGAGAACCAGGTGTGGTGAGGAGAGGTGGTTGAGGATTCCTGCTCTGCTGGTGTAAAAGTAAAACGGCAGCTCCTGTTTAAACACTCGTGAGGAGAAAAAAAAAATATCTGTGGCAGTTAATTTCGGAGAAGGTGATGAAATGGCATTGGACAGATGGAAACCTCTTCTTGGTCTGTTGGTTGGTTTTATAGGGTGATGATGATGTTGTCAAATGTCAGAAGTGCTGAAGGTGGAAGTTTGGATCAGACTGAGAGAATAGAGAGTGTGTTCTGGTGTGATCCAGTAACTGTGGGAGGGAAATGAGCTTGTAGTTAAATATGTCATATTTGATTCCCACATCCAGCTGCAATACTTTTAACGCCAAACGAGGATTAAACCACTGATGAGTGAAAAATGAGCTGTAAGCTACGATTGGCTCCTGCTTTCTCTGCTACCTTCAAAGTTGACAGAATTCAAAATCCTTTTTAAGTTTTCATAACTCAACCATAAGTTGTGATATCGAATCTTCCAGCCAGGTTACCCACAAGCAAAGCGACATATCAATGCTAGGCTGCGGTAAAATGTTTATTCATCATTCACTGGAACAATCATTTAGCACCAGTAGAATAAAAGGAGAACTCGGAGTGGCACTTTCAAACTCTAAAAGTTTTCTTTCCCATATTTCACAACAAAAGCACAAAAGTTAGTTAGCAGAACTTTTTTTTTACCTGTTGTAGTGAGATAAAAGTACTGAAAACTCACAAAATGATATTTAGCATCACAATTACAGACTTCATTTATTGTTCCTTTATGTCACACTTAGTTTTTCAAGAGTTTTCAACTGAAAGTAGTTTTTCATCCCAAAAAATGTTAACTTACAGTGCAGGAGCCTACATATCCAGATGAGCTTAGGCTATTCTCATGATATATTTTTAAGTTTCTTTGAAGCAATAAGAACGACATGTCACCTACAATACAGTATTTATCTTTACAATTCAACTAAAAAAGGAAAAACTCGCCACTGAACCTCACAGGTATCATTCGGTTCATTCAGTAAACGTCTGTTGGTGTCTGCAGGTTGATTTGACAACATTTGCCTACGTTGAGGACATTTCTTGTCCACATCTGTGTTTTTTGTGTCTCTACAGAATATTTAGATGCATTGATCCTGGACTTCCTGTTTTCTTGCAAAACCCTGCAGATTTTATGCAGAAACTGACTATTACTCCCCTGTTGGTAAAGTGTTTGTTAATGATGTGCTGCGTTGTTTTTGCTCCAACTTGCTTTTTGAAGTTGTGACTAAAAGTTAAAACATTTTCTGGATGTTGCTATAAGGCCTCTGTCTTCCAGCTCTGCTTTTCAGTTTCGACATGTGAAGAGCAACAGATTGTTGACGCATGTCGAACACACCTAGTACCACCAGAACGAGTCCAGCTGTTTCAGTGCTGCTGGCGGTCCGTTGGCAGCATGTTGACCGCTTCGCATCCCGCAATTGTGATGACTTTACTCCTGTATTATTTCTACTTTATGCTCATACAACTTTATTCTTACAATAAATAAATAAAAAATAAAAATTTATCGTACGGTAATCCTAATACTCCGTTACAGTAAGTAGTTAGCAAACTAAATTTTTAGCGCTAAACTAATATTTAGTTAGGAAACGAAATATTTTGCTCCAAACTATTTAGTTAGCAAGCTAAATATTTTGTCCCAAACTAAATGCTTCAGTGGAATGCTAAACATTTAGTGATGTACTTAGCTTGCTAATTAGTTAGTAAGCTAAATGTTTAGCTCCAACTTAAATATGTAATTAGAAAACTAAATATTTTGTCCCAAACTAAATGCTTCAATGGGAAGCTTAGTATTTAGTGACATAGCTTGCTAATTAGACAGTAGGCTAGATATTTAGCATAACTGTTTAGTTAGTAAGCTAAACATTTAGCATCAAGCTAACTAATTAGATAACTAATTAAATGTTTAGTTTGAGACTGACATTTAGAAATGAATGGATATCATTGTGAAAGTATGACTTAATACATAAAAGCTCTTTTTTTTTGGTTATGACAGACAAAGTAACCCAAATAGTTGCTTATAATTTTTGTGTGGTTTTACAGATGGAGCCACCGACCCAAAAGCATCTGTCCTCTTTTATAGTCACATTTTGTTTTTTAAGTTTTGGAAACTGCGTCTTTTTCTGCTACATTTATACTTTGAAGCATGCATGGATGCATGTCTCCCAGTCTTTAGTGAACTGGGTGAATCCCAGTCATGAGAAATTGCTAATACAAACTCCACTTCCTTCTGTCTGGAGTCTCTTTCGTTCTCAGTATTTTCCCAGTAGCAGTTCCCAGTTTCCATGTAGCTTTCTGGCCGACCAGTTTGTTTCCTTCTGGGTTGAAGGCGGCCAGAGATGACCTCTGAACTCTAGTGGAGAACGAATGCTTTCTTTTAACACACTTTCTAACACACTCTCCACCTCTTCTGTTGGTTTTGTGGCAGACCGGGGTTCTCACAGCTCGTTGGATCTGACGGAGCTGATCGGCGTCCCCCTGCCTCCCTCCGTCTCCTTTGTCACCGGATTCGAGGGCTACCCGGCCTACAGCTTCGGCCCGGGTGCCAACGTGGGCCGCCTCACCAAGTCGTTCATCCCAGATCCGTTCCATCACGACTTCGCCATCACAGTGATGGCGAAGCCGACCACACGGCGCGGCGGTGTGCTGTTCGCCATCACAGACGCGTTTCAAAAAGTGAGATTTTATCTGTAGCTGCATTTCTGTTACAAATGTGCAGAAAACTTTTTTTGATCTTCTTTAAATTCACAGAAGTGGTGTTTCCATTAAATACGAGATGCAATTAAGATCACTTGATAGGTCAATAGAAACCATGCTGAGACATTCTCCTACCACTTCCTGTCGTCTTCTTCATCGTTTCCAGCAGTAGCAAAATCCAGTTGGAATGCAAAAAAAAATGTTTCCATTGCAATTTTATGAAATTATACTGGTTGCTTTAGGGCCATTGTACATATAAAGGAGTACATTTCCACCAAAAAAACTCTGAATTTTGAGATAAATCTCTAGAAAAAATAAAAAATTTCTGAGCCTGAAATTTAAAAAAAAAAAAAGCTAGTAAAAGCTCAGAATTTTGAGATTAATCTCTGATATTTTCTAGAAAAGAACTTTTGCAAATTTTCTAAATTTTCTAAAAGTCAAAACTTTTCTACTTCAGAGACTCAGAAATGTCCAAGTTTCTTTATTAATATCAAAATTTCAGAGTTTTTTGGCAGAAATTTGCTTCTCCTTTTTAAAAAATGTTTCTACAATGTCCCTAATACGGCATCGTAGGAAATAAAACTCATCTTAGTGAAAAAACCTTTTTTGTTTCCATTAAGTAGATTTATTTCTCTAATTTGAACTTGCACAATTACATAGTTGGTGGAAACGCAGCTGTTTGTTTTTCGTTGATTCCTGTTTGCAATAATTGATCCGCCAGTACCAGCTGGTTGATGCCTTTTTGTGTTTTGGTTGCATTGGTAAGGTCGTGCAGCTCGGTGTCGCCCTGTCGGAGGTGGAAGACGGCGCCCAGAACGTCATATTGTACTACACCGACCCAGAAACCAGAGGCGGGACCAGAGAGGCTGCTTCTTTCAAAATGGGGGAGGTGACAGGACGCTGGGCGAGGTTTACCCTGACCGTGCAAGGAGCAGAGGTGAGCGGGGCGGATTGGTTTTGGTTTTGATTTTAACGACACTGAGGATAAAAACTCACATGTTCAAAAGTTTGTCATGTTTTCTGGTGTTTAGTTTCTCTCTTATTTCTTATGCCTGGACTGAATATCAATATTTTTAGCATAAAATCTCCACATTGTTGTCTTCAGAAATAAAACAAACCGAAATGATATTAGAGAAGAACCAGAGTGAATAATGGAACGAGTTTCATTTTAGTTGAATAATCCGACTAATCCAAAGTCATATCTGAACCATGCTTCGCTTTAGCTCTGAGGAATAATGAGACTTTGAGATTTCTCATAAATAAATTACTTTATCAGAGACGAAAGTTATGCTTTATTTTTTTATTTATGTAACAGAGGAAATATAACGTATTCTTACTGAAACGGAGTCGTTGTTCTGTTGAGCCGTGAAGCTCTCAGTAATGGCTTTGAGGGTTTTTTCTTAGAAACAACAAAAAACCACGAGCTGCTTTAATTTTTAATAAAGCAGTGAGAATAACAGAATCTTATCTTCCTCATTAATAAATATCAGAGAAAAAGAACAAACTTTTTTTTCTTGCACAGTTGTTCAGACTAATGTTCAGCCGTGCTTTTACTTACAATGCCTACAAAAAGTATTCACCCTTTTTCCTGCTTTTAATAATCAATTACAAACAATAAAATGACAACAAATTTACAAAGTAAACTATACAGATTTTTTGTATCCATGCATTTTTCAATAAACTTTTCTCTGATTTGTTTGAGTGTTTTTTTCCTTCTTATTTTGAAACTATTTTCAGTTGAATTAGGTCAGTTATGTTAAAGACGGTGAATCTAACAGTCGCTTATCTTCTGTTAAATGTTTTTACTTCATGATTATTTTGTATAAGTAATTTGAAATTAAAGTTTTTTTTGTAACGTAAAAGAAACACATTTTGTTAATCATGATTGACATAAAAGCAATAAAAAGAGTAAAACATCCTCAGGATTAATATATTTTATACACATTGTGGCTCTTCAGATTCGTAGTACACACTTTCTATGTTCACTTCTTACACAAGCAATTTTAAAACTATTTTTAAAAATACTATAGAAGCCGATGTGCCTAATTTACAACTTATGACTTCCATAACATGTTTTCTTTCTATAGAAAGTATTCCTGGCTCAGTACGTCTATGTTTGTTTTTGTCTTCTTGTGTAAAAACACAAAAGTATCTTTGTCTATTTCTAGACCAAATATCTAATTACATTTGAAATAAGACCAAACTAACTTATAAGCAACTTTTCAGCAAGAAGTAGGAGCTCGTTTTAAATAAATAACTCCTTAATATTGAAGAAAAATACCAGTTTCGCTGGTATTTTTTTATACATTATAGTGAAATAATCTAATAATGGATCTAGTGTAGTAAAGTCAAAATTCAGTTCAGTCTGACGGCGGTTTTGTGTCATATTTTGACTGAGTGAATGTAGTTTATGTTTAAAGGTTTCTAGCTTTCCTTCCCATTTGTGTTGTCCCTTTAGATCCGCCTCTACATGGACTGTGAGGAATACCACAGAGTGGCCTTCACCAGGAGCGCCCAGCCTCTGACCTTCCAGACCAGTTCGGGGATCTTCGTGGGGAATGCCGGTGGAACGGGTCTCCCTCGGTTTGTGGTGAGTCTTTTAGCTTCGCTGTGAGTGCAAAGTCAAGCTGCTTCCAGCCCATCATTTTTAGTACGAAGGCCCTGCTCTGTTTGCTCTTAGCCGTGTTTGACAGCTGCTAATCCAGCTAGTTTCGCCCCTCATTCCTGATGTCAGTGCGTTTGGATCAACGAGTTCACGGCGATGACTGAATCCAGACCCAGAATGCAGACAGATGTGATGTTTGGGCGGTTGTCTCCGTTGCATTTTCTGATGTGAACACAGTCATCTTTGTTGGCAGCTTTACGGCCACCACAAGAGACCCCAGAATGAAAGACCACATGTGTCTGAGTGCTGTCTTCTCCGGTGAGAGCTCATAAATGGCAAGCTGTTTGTGATTTACAGGTTTGAAGTACGGCTGAGCGTCTCTCTGAGACATTGAATTGAACCTAATCACTGATAAATATGCCGGGATAGAAAGCCCAATCCCCCTCAGTAGCTGTTAAAAATACTCAGGAGTTTAGCTGGTTAGAAGTGCAGGAGAGCAATCAGCCCTCAGTGTTGTTGTAAAGGATAATAAAACAGTAATAGATCCAGAGATTTCCTGAAAAAATGCATTTTGTGCCTAATAATAATGTGGAGAAATCATTTGAGGTGAACTGAATATCAGTAGTTTGTTTATAGTTGGTGGTTTTTCTAGAACTGATTTGATCTTTTATCAGGATCATCATCAAAATCTCAGGTTTATATTTTGAACACCAATAAACCTTCTGAAGATTAGATTATTTTTACACATTTTAAAACATTTTTTGTCCCCCAACCGTACATCCATTCATTCATCCTTCTGTCTTTTAATCCACATGTGTCAAACTGAAGGCGCGGGGGCCAAATGTGGCCCGCCATAGCTTTTTATGTGGCCCTTTAAACTCCAAATTACATCAATAAGTCCTTCCAGTTTTTTTTACAAATCTGCAAAATTCACACAAAATCAACAGATCCCTATATTTTTTTTCTGATTTTGATCATATTTTCTCAGAATTGGTCGAAATCATTGGGTTTTAGTGACTGCTGCCTCAGCCTTACTTGATGTCAAGTTATGGTCGGTAATTGATGTAATAAAAAGGAAATATTGTAAAAATTTCTTACAAACATTTTACTACAAAATCTGTTATTTTGATTGCAAAAAAACATTAAAAACAATCACAAAATCTTGGACCAACAGCTATTTATTGATATTTTGACAGTTGAATTAGTTTTATCAATATATCCTGTCAGAACCGGCCCTTTAAGAACAGTCAGACTTTTGATATGGCCCAAAATGAAAATGAGTTTTAATCTATCCAGATGTCCATCCATCTTTTCATTGAGTTTTCTATCTGCCCAACCATCAATCCATCTATCCACCTGTGGATAGATGGATTGATGGATAGATGGATAAATTCATGAATCTAAATTCATAAGTTAGTTATTCACGTCTTAAATTTCGTCATGACAATTTAATCTCTTATTTGTTCAAGGGACTTTTCAGGCAAAAGTTTGAGTCGTCTTCATCCTCTGACTCGAGGCTGTTGAGGCTACCGCTAAGTAGCCGCTAATGTACCCTTGCTAACTAGCTAGCTAGCTTTTTGTGTCTACGGTTGATTGGTGTTTGACTCAACATACAGAGAGCGATAAATACTGTTGCGTACAGTATAAATATGTTTAATAAAGTTGAACATTTTTCAACTTTCTTGTGTTACAAGCTCACGTTTGAAAATTTTCATGAATGTCACCGGTTGCTTTACTGGAGGAGAGCTAGCGATTGTCAAGCAGTTTTAGTGTAAATTTATGTCCAGTTGACTGGATAAAGTTTGTTTTCACCACTATCTCATTATTCTCTGCTAAAAATATTTAAGGTTAGCACAAAGACGCTGCTAAGAGCCGCAAACAAACCCCAGAAATTTATAATTTTGCTAATTATGATTGTAATATAGCAGGATTCCCCATATAAAGCTTTCCTGCCTTAAATTTAATTCAAGTTGGCATTAAAAATAGGTCTTAAAAAGTCTTAAATTTGACTTGGTGAAAGCTGCAGATCCTCTGACTCATTTCTCCATCCATCCATTTGTCCAAACAGCTGTCAGCTTGTTTCCTTCCTGTCTCTGGTTTATTATTTAAAATATCAGCCCTGTATAAATATCGACCATAATTTCATAGTGAATTTGGAACATTTATAATTTATAAACAGGAGAAAATGGACTGACTGACATGAAAGATGGGAAACCTTCCCTGGCATTTCACTAAAGCAAGTTCATGTGATGGGAAAACTGTAAGTTCTTAGTGGAAAGAGGAGGAAAAAGGTTCCTACCGTAAACGATTTACGTGGTTAACATGTTATTAGAGAAAGCTGAGAAGCTTTCAAAGACCAAGGAAGGAGTTTGTTTTTATTCAAAGCTCCTTTTTTGGCTTCAGACAGGAGTCCATTTACTTTTGAACAATCCATCCAGCAGTTGTCTTTCATTTCCAGTTGAGGAATTTAAACTAACTTACGTGGATTTTTTAAATCTAAACTTTAAATCCTTAAAAATACAGCTCTGCTTTTATTTTCTGTTTCAATCAAACTTCGGTTCATTTGTCTGGAAAGTCTGATTCATTTGGGGAGATAAGAATGATCGAACTCTGATGCGGACCAAAAGAGTGACCTTTGGTTTGGTTCAAATGTCTATATGAATGCCAAACAGACCAGAGACCGCTCCAAAAGCAGGAAGCAGGCTATGGCGCAGGGCATTCTGGGTAAATACAACCAAAACAAACGTGTGGCTAGCACTAGCAAGAGGAATGGCTTGTGGTCTTTTACCAAAGAAAAAAGAGAAATCCTGCAGCTGCTAAAATCTGACGCTACTCCATTTTTATTTATATTTTGTGAAGAAAGAAGTTGAGCTCAGTGTCTTCTTCTGAGGTTTTCATGTCATTTCCTCCAATAGCTCCTGGTGCAGCGCCCTCACAGGCGAGGAGGAGAACTGGAGTTTGAATTAGTTTGGATCATTTGACACAGTCCAGTGTGAAAGGAAACCGCAGCAACAGAAAATGCAATAAATGTTGCAGTTTTGGTCCTGATAGTCTACCGTACCATCAAGAAAGAAAAGACCCTAAGTTTATCAAATGCAGGATTTCATTTCCTACTTTCTTTCAAAACTTAAAATATTTTAAAAAGTCTAACTTTTTATGAGTTGGGCGCTGTGACCTTTCTCTGTATAGTTGTCATTCTTTGTCGTCTGTCATTGTGATTTTTTTAATCTTTTTTTCCTCCAACCTTGAGGGAAAGAATGTAAAGTATTCAGACTGACGTACAACCAAAATATCTTCACATTTTTGCACGTCTGACTGTAAAATACTGTTTGCAATTAACTTTGGTTTCATAAAAACTATAAATTACAATGCATTTTGTCAATGAACTGCTGGATTCTGCTGCTATTTTTCTGTTCCCTACCTATGCAATCAGAGGTTGCACATATAGATGCTCAGATTAAAAATGGTTGCTATAAGACAATAGATCTCCTTCATAGGGTTCTACTGCCTCTTCAGAGTAAGCCCCATGTATTTCATCACTCCTCTGCCCTGCTACATTCAGACGAGGAGGAGCAGTAGTGTCTGTTCAGCTGCTCAGTGTTTGAGTTGGCAGCTCAGTCAGAGATCATCTCTCAGAGAGCAATAACAGGCCTGATTCAGCAGCACCGGCTCTCTGCAGCCGTAGCCTCGCCGTGGCTTTGGATGAACACACAGGAAGAAGAAAGAACAATAAAAGTTTGACTTGGTCTTACACAGGGTCTCATTCCAGCTTTCCAGTTTTTTCCTATTTTCCTTTGCAAAATAGTCCAAGCTGCATGGAGAACATCTGTGTGCTAAAGCAGCCGATTTAAGTCTGGACTTTGACTTGGCCCATCCTTCAATGTGTTTACATTATAAATGACGATAAACTTTTCCGATATTCCACTAATGTCAAAAAATCAAAATTTCGCAATTGCTGTGTTTCCATTAAATAAGAAACAATAAAAATCTTTTTAAAAAAAAGTTTGAATATTAATGAAAAAGTACAATTTTCACTGGCAGATTCATCAATATTAAGCCATTGTTAAGAAATGTTCAGCAATTTCTTGCTGAAAAGTTAGTTTTGTCTTATTTCAAGCATGCTAAGATATTTCCATTAGAAACTAAACACCTGGTAAGAGTTTGTGTTTTTGTGATGCTTTGAAAGGTTTAACTCCACCTGCGCAGTGAGAATCCAGCTGGAGGTGGAAACCTCAAACCATAAAATGGTGTCAATCAAAACGAGGCAGTGACAGTTTGATTTAATTTAGAGTGTCAGAGTAAATGAGGCAAAAACCAGGAATCATTTCCTTGAGCTGCACTTATTCTGGTAATTACCTTGAAGTTTGTGGTTTAATGTGACTTAATGTTAAAAGGCTTGAGAAAGGTTTGCAAGGGAGGAAAGTTTGGGGCTCCAAGTATAAATATAAGGGAGACATTACAGCTAAGCCTCCATAATGTCTGTCGCTCTTCTTCGTCTGCAGGGCTCCATCCAGAAACTGCTGCTGAACTCGGATCCCACGGCTCCAGGTGACCAGTGTGAGGAGGACGATCCTTACGTGAGTCTGCCTTAAAAACTGCATACAGGAAAACTGCTCAAAAACCCTTGGTTAGTACGCCCTCTGCTGGTGGGAGTACAGCGTTGCAGCAGACTCTGTGAATTTGAAATAATTACAAGAAGCAAAGAAATATTTCCATTAACTTAAAAAATCAATTCTTTGCAGAACTAACTGGTCCTGTATTCACAAACCTACTGATATACAGAGAAAAATTTTATTTTTTTGGTTTCTCATAAAAGCAACAAACAAAAACAACAACATCTGGACTCCAGTTGGGTTTTTCTTCCAGTTGGTTTATCAGAACGGCCATAACATAAAATAATTTATTCAGTAAATATGTGATATTTAAATTATGTCACATTTTAATTTTCAGAGTAATTCAAAATTTTGCATTTTAATTACTTTCTGTGAGCAATAAACTTCGGAATTACAAAACATATAATTGTCATTTGCTTCAATTTTTTTCTCTTTTTTACCAAAAACTGGTGCTTTGGTCTCAACTAAACTTTGTTTAAAAGATATTTCTGTTTTAGAGGCTTCATGATTCATTTTATTTGTTTGTTTATTTATTTAGGATATTTCAAACGTCGTCCAGTTCCAGTGTTTAAATGTTCATTAGAATATAAAGTTTATTGATCCTTGAGAATGTGTCCCTGCATTATTAAGCCATTATTGCTATTATATTACTTGAAAATGGTCTCAAAACTACAATATTATCGCTTATCACAATAAGTTCTGGGACAATTTATCGTCCTGTAAAATTTGTCATTGGTCTAACATGAGGTTAATTTTTTTAAATGTGACAAAAATATTTAACTTTTTCACAGCTTTGAATGTAAATGAACCTCTATTACTGTTAAAAAATATAGTTTTGGACAGAAAGATGATAAGTTTTCTCTTTACAACACAGGTGGTCTAAGGTGACATGTCAGGACTCCTTCTATGGTCGTTCCTCTCTGTCTTGGATCTTTTGAAGAGTTTTGTGATAAAATAACTGTATTTTCATGTTGGTTTTATGTTTCTGGCTCTAAAATGTGTTTTCTCCTAAATATAATCTTTTAATCTTGGAATTATGCTTTAAAAAAATCTTTTTTTTGAGACTGCTTTTCTTTTCTCGTCCTCCAGCCTGAACTCTGATTATTCTTCCGCCCATCTTCTCTGTTCTCCTAAATGTTTATGTTGTGACTCCAACTCTCTTCTTCCCTTTGCTCTCATGTTTGCTTCAGGTGTCGGGTTTTGGGAGCGGAGATGAAGATTATGACGACTCAAAGGAAGGAGATGAAGTGAAGAAGATTGTGGAGGAGAGAGAATACCCCATGGTGCGTTCGCTGTTCTCCTGGCTTTTTGCCATTTCACTGAGCTGGACCCAAACCAAAGAAAACAGCTCTTATCCTTGCAGGCCTGTTGGAGACTGGAGCGCCCTGATATGTGCCGCTGTCTGCCAATTCGGTGCTCTCAAACGCGCACCGCAGGGTGCCGGGTTTTCAGACGAGGGGGGAAAGTCAGCTACATTATTACACTTCCAGAAATAGCTCCACAGGGAAACCTGTCGGATTTATTTCACCGGCTGGATGAAAAGATCCGTATCCGCAGCTGAAAGTGTGTCTTGTTAAATTAAATCTCGTTGTCACCCAGTTCTGACGGTGGACACCAGGAAAAACGTAGCTGTAAAATATCAAATTATATTCCAAGTCACTGTGAAAAAGGAAGCTTCTCCTGAATGTTTATGATAAAAAGACAGTTAATTTGTTAAATACAGAATGGGTTATGTGCTGCACAACAGTTATTGTTTTTTAAATATAGTTCTGTAAATGCCACACAATGCACAATGTTAAGGATTATTTCTGAACAAATCAAGAAAGGAATAGAAATTGTTTTGAAGCCCTTTTATGGTTTGGATACATAAAAAAAGCTTATTGTTGAGCAGATAAAGCTAAAAACAATCACAGCCTTCTAGATTCTAACTAAACACTAAGTATGCTTAAATATTATGTTATCAATCAAATCAATGCAGTTTTTATCTGTTTAATGCCAAATTATATCAATCAGTCCCTCCAGTTTTTTGAGAATTAGCCTGGAAATTCAGGCAAAATCAACAAATTCCCAAACTTTTTTATGCTTATAATTGGGAGTTTATTGCATATTTTTCTCAAACATTTGATAAAACTTTCTTACTCCTACTAAACAGCTGCTTCAACCTTAACTGATGTCAGATTATGGTCAATGATCTGTGCAGCGAGTAATAAAAAGTCACATTTACCATCATAAATAAGCGCAAATATTTCCAAATTTGAACCACAAACATTGATTTTTATTACAAAAAGTCACAATAAGTATAACACTGAAACAATGCTCAATAATATTTAATTTTAAGAATTCATTCATACTTTAACAGTGAACAGGTTTTATCGATACATTCTGGGACAACCGGCCCTTTAAGAGCTTTTATGAGCTTCACTTAGCCCAAAACAAAAATGAGTTTAGCATCATATTATATTCGTATCAAACTAAAATCAAACATGAATGTCCTTCAGGTTCAGCTCTCATTTGCCTCATCAGAGCTTTAAAAGTGGTTTCCGTTTTGTAAAGACATCTTGAATGATGTTTTTTTGATCTTTTTAACTGCCTGCTAATTCACAAGCAGCCATATTGTCGATGTCTTACTGATGTTTACCAAGAACTGCGTCTGTGCTCAAAGCTGTGATTTGCTTTCCTGCCAACATTTTGATGGGAAAATTATGCAGCAGATCAGGTTTGCTTTGTAAACATTCAGTTGCAGCCAGTAAACAATTAAACTGTAAAATCTGGAGCGGATGTATGATATAGGTTTGACCTTAATGGAGTTTAATTTAGGAAGGAAGTGGCAGTCCTCCATAATTTCTATTTTATTTTTATGTTTTACACATTTTAATGGGTTTTTTTGTTTGTTTTTTTAATATGTGAGCTTGTATTTCTGGTTTGTAGGTTTTTCCAGAACCGGATCCCACATATGGCGGCCCAGTCCAAGCTCCGCCCACTGATCCGTCACTAATCGATGATGAAGATGGAGATGATGAGGAGTCATCTGGCCAGGAGTTGGAAAGGACCACCGAAAGAGGTAAAACATTATTATTATTATTATTATTATTATTATTATTATTATTGCAGTTTGATTATTAACCTGCACTTAATTTTAGTTTTTTAAATGTATATCTTATTCTGGTACAGTACCAGTAATTTTGATTGTAATTACTAATCTTTATCTTTATTCTATTTTTATTTATTATTATTGGACATTCATTATTAAGTTAGTTAAAATACATGTTTAAATATAAATTAGTATTAAAATGGATCAATGCATTCATTTATAATTTTAAATATTTTCTGTGATATTCTCTGGACCGTCTGTTGTTGCATTTCATTGATGGCCACCAGATGGTGCTAAAGAGGCGCTTTATCTCTCTCTCTCATCACTGTAGTCTTTTCTCTTGACCTGCAACAAACCAGCACGTCTTTCTCATCCTGTCTGTTTGTTTCACAGCTGAAACTGAACTCATAAAATCTTATCGGTGTGTTTTTCTGACAGCAGCAACATCTCGGGCGAACGCCTCTGAGAGACGAGCCGACGCTGTAAGTTGGCATCTTCTCCTGGACACGTTTTGCACTTTAAGCACGTTAACGTGTAGCTCTGTGAAGCAGTTGTCCCAGATACACGGAGCTGAATCTGTCCTATTTAAAGTTACTGCAGCAGAAACCTTCCTTTGATTACATCATAACATAAAAACGACTGATTGATCTGACCGCATTTATTTATTAGATTGATTGTGGATGAAGGTATTCACCTGAATTCTCTTCGATATTCAGTCCCTCCAGGTGTCCACAGGGCAGAAAGGTGAACCAGGTGAGCCAGGTCCTCCAGGACCTCCTGGCCCTCCAGGACAAGCAGCAGGTGGGGGAGGGGATCCTGGACCAAGAGGTCCTCAAGGGCCAAAGGGACCTGCAGGCCCAACTGGGCTTCCTGGGAAAGATGGCGAGCCTGTGAGTTTTTTAATTGAATCTTCTTGTTTGTTTGATTTACAGCAATCAGCAGCTTTCATTTTTTTTCCAGAGCAGCAGTGATGTGTTGTTTATCAGCAGAGTACACACTGATGGATGTGTTTCTATTTTTATCTGTTCTCCAGGGGATGAAAGGTGAACGCGGGCTGCCAGTGAGTAAAACTCCTTCACTGATGTCTCATGTTTTACTGCTAAAGGTAAAGTCAAATGAGATTATGTAGGAATTATCCAACATGGAGGACAAACCGTAGGAAACTCAGCAGGGATTCTAAATATAAAGGATGTGGCTCTCTGCCCAGGGCATCATCACATTAGGGGACAAATGGTTAAAACATTTTTGTCTGCTTTTAGGTGCACACTCTTCTCTCTATGACAGAATACTAAAGACATTATAGATAGAAAAAAAAGTAAATTTCTGCCAAAAAAGTCCAAATGCCACATATTCTGAGACTAATCTCAGAAATTTTCTAGAAAAAAAATGAAGATTTCTGAGTTTGAAAAGTCAAACATTTGCTAGAAAAAGCAAAGATATTCTGAGACTCATCTCAGAAAATTTGTAGGAAAAAAAACTGAAAATTTTTGAGTTTGAAAAATAAAAAATTGCAAGTAAAACTCTGAAATTTTGAAATAAATCTCAAACTTTCTAGAAAAAAATTGGAAATTTCTAAGTTTGAAAAATAAAAAAAAATGTGCTAAAGAAAACAAGAAGATTTTGAAATCAATTTCAGAAATTTTCTTGAAAAAAAAATTCTTAGCTTCAAAAGTAAAAAATTTGGTAGAAAAACTGAAATTTTGAAATATTCTGAGTTTGAAAAGTAAAAAAGAAAATTGGTTGAAAATTTTAAAAATTTGCTAGAGAAACTCAGAAATTTTTAGAGTAATCAAAACAGTTTGAAATTTTCAACATCTGAAACTCAGAAATTTCAGTTTGTTTTCTCAAAATATTTTGGTGGAAATTTTCTGCTTTTTATTTCACGCCCTTAATTCGCCGTTGTATTTCCCTGATCTCCATTTTTGTGCTTACCGTATTTGACATTTTGAGTTATTTTATCTTAATCCTTAATTTTCTTCTCTGGGTTTTCAGCATGGTTGAAATTTTGGATTTTGGTTTGTTTTTTCCAGGGAGCAGCAGGATTCCCTGGACTACCAGGAGATTCTGGTCTAAAGGGAGAGAAAGTAAGGAACGAAGTGTAAATAATGAAAGACAAACTTCCTGATGGACTTTGTGTTCAAACACTTTCCAACAGTTAATGCTGCTGCTGTCTTCCTCAGGGTGATCCGGGCCTGGGGGTTCCTGGTCCTCCCGGGCCTCCTGGACCTCCTGGTCCACCCAGCAAAGCTCTCATGGTTTGTTCTTCATACATTTCTCCTCTTTTTAACATGTTGATGCCATAAATTCACTTTAAGGTTGTGGATTTAACCGTGTTTTACACAGGAGGGCTCTGGATTCGAAGACTTTGACAGCGATACAGAGGTTGTCAGGGTAAGGAACCAAAACTATTTTTATCACATTTCAACCACAAAATGTAATCTGATTTATTTAGCTAAATTAGACCAACACAAAGTAAGAAATTTATCAATAATTTGCCTTTATTTTGAAGAAAAATCAGTTATCCAATTAGTAGATAGAGATCACCTTTTCTTTAAAGGGCATCTGTTATGCAGAATTCACATTTTGCACTTTTTTGTTCCTCCATTTGAGTGTCAACTGCTTCTAAAAACCAACCAGATGCTGTTTGGTGTCTGGAGCCTTTTATTGAGTCACATTGATCCGTTACCTAGCAACCCAAACAGAGCTGAATGGCTACTGGAAAAGACAAGTGTTTTGTTGATCACTTCTTGCATTCTTGTTGGTTTTGCAGGAGGCTCTACTAATGCTTTTCAAACATGTATGGCTGTATAATTGCTCATCTGTTTGCAGCCATTTACTCATGCGAGTGTAAACGTTGAGTTGGGGGGGCGTGACCAGTAGCAGTTCAGTAGGATTTAAAGTGACAGAGACCCTAAAACAGAGATTTGTGCAAAAAATGTACTGAACTTGTTCAAGAAAGCCCTATAACTTAAAATATTAATTGTCAACATTATGTTGTGTATCCTCAGGGCCCCCCAGGGCCTCCGGGCCCCCCAGGGCTGCCTGGCCTCCCAGGATCCTCAGCTGGTGGTGTCACTCCGGGGCTTCCTGGGCCTCCTGGGCCTCCTGGGAAAGATGGCACGAACGGAGAACCGGGACTCGCTGTGAGTTTTTCACCCCATCTCATTTTGATCTGAACCTGAAATGGGATTATTTAATCAGATCAGATCGGAGCAGCTCTATAAAGTTCTGCCCATCTGGTGCCGGAGTCAGAGCATTAACGTCTCTCAAGGGGTCGGTCATGGTGGGCCGCTGTGCTGACTTCCAGAGACGACACACCACTAAAAGAACCGCACAGTTCAAATCACCATAAAGAAAGAGGAGATTATATTAAGTAAATGTAGCCAGGCACAGCTCCGCCATGTGGCTGTCCAGATCCGCCCGGTGGCTGACCAGATCCGCCCGGTGGCTGACCAGATCCGCCGGGTGGCTGACCAGATCCGCCGGGTGGCTGATCAGATCCGCCGGGTGGCTGACGAGATCCGCCATGTGGCTGACCGGATCCGCCATGTGACTGACCGGATCCGCCCGGTGGCTGTCCAGATCCGCCCGGTGGCTGACCAGATCCTTCCTTTTATCCATCCTTGGCTTATTTCCATAATTTTTCCCTCTCTTTCCTTGTTTCATTGATTCCTTTTCTTTATTCGTTTATTTTCCTTCTTTCTTTCCTTGTTTGTTTTTTTCTTGATTTTCTTCCATATTTCCCTTTTTCCCTCTTTCTTTAACCCTTTATGGTTTAGCCTGCTTGTTTCTCATTCATGTTAAATTTCTTTCATTAAAAACAAATCTTTTTGTAACTTCTGTTCTCTTTATTATCCCCATTTCTGATAATGTATTTTTGAATTTGCATGAAGCCTTACTGCTGCAGGGATATTTACCATAAAGTTTAAAGAACCTTCAGGAAAAGTTTGAAATTTTGACAAAAACAAAAAGTTCATCTTGTTACGAGTTGTTTCTCTGAGGAAGTAAAAGTTAAAATATAAGTAAATTGTTGCCTTTATTGCAGGGAGTTGATGGAAAAGACGGCGACCCGGGCCCTGCAGGAGAGAAAGGAGACAAGGTGAGTCTAAAACTCATCACTGAGAAATAAAACGCTCCACTTTAACAGAACCCATTAACTCTGTAAATTCTCCTTTTTCACATGTCTACGTTGTAAATATCTACGATTCCTGTCCTGACTTGAAAACCTGTCTTAGCGTAATTTCTGCCATGGCAACCTCTGCACAAGCCAGCCCTAATTTACCTTCTGCAAACACTCTGATTAAAAAAAAAGAAACAATTACCATCCATCCAGCATAAAAAGCCTGGCTCTTAATGAGGTGACCCCACGGAGTAATAAAGCAGGGGAGCTGGAGTGTAAACAAGTCTGCGCTGCTTTAAAAGCCGCTCCGCTTTTTAACGCCAGCCGGAGCCGTCTGCAGTCGGCAGCACCGCTAATTTAATTTCATTATTTTTCTTTTGTTTGTTAAAAGGGAGAGCCTGGAGCGAGCGGGCCACCAGGACCAAAGGTACCATCTATTTAACGCTCGTCTGAAAGGATAACGAACCATTAGCAGCAATAATTAGGATGGTTTTTTTCCTGCTGGCTGGAGAGCCAATGAGGGGATTTAATACTCAGTTTGTCTCTCAGGGAGATCAGGGTCCGGCTGGGTTTCCAGGGCTACCGGGGTCACCGGGCACCGAGGGGCAGCCTGGTCCGAGGGGTCCGCCTGGACCTCCTGGGCCGCCCGGACCCTCAGGAAGTCGCTTCGCCGTGGCGCTAGAGGTACGCATGTCTTATGGTGAAGAAATTCATCAAGCTTGAATTTTTCTACATTTATTTTCCCTTTTAACCTCAAACTTAATGCATTTAAATGATTTTACATGTTCAATCTGAAAAGTGTGGCATGCATTTGTTTCTAATGCTCTCATATTTCTGTCTTCACAAGTTTCTGTCCAAAACTCTTGGTAAAACAATTCAACTGAGCATTTCAAAAGGAAGATTTCATTTTTTATTAAAACAAGATTCTTAGTTTTGCATGTTAAAAACAAAATGTGCAAAACTACTTTCTACACGCAAAAAAAAACATGTTTAAACTAATGTTCTGTTAAGTGTTTTTATTTACTCTTGGTAGCTGATTTCAGACTTTTTATTGGCCAAAACTAGTTTATATTTACATGTATATATGATTATATTTTCTATTCTTATAAAGGAAAGTAGAAAAAACAGCTCTGGTTTGATGTTACATATTTGTTTAGTGAAATCCTCCCAAAAAAGAAAGAAAATCTGGAATATTGTCTGTCATATAATTTATTTGGCCAATATCACCCACAAATTTTGTGTCTTGTAACAACAAAGTTTGTAATTCTAACAACTTTTGCACCTCGTTATAGAATGAGATGAGTCCGATATCTCGTTAAAATAATGACCAAGTTTTATATCTTGAGTCACTATGAACCATTTTATATAAAACTACTCTTAAAAACGTTCTCTCGTTTTTAAATTGGTTTATCTCATCTCATTATATTGAGAGTTTCTCATTTTATATGTTGGTTAATAAGATATAAAATCTTGTTTCAGTATGAGCAGAATTTTTATCTTTTGTTTTAATAAAAATGTTTGAACAAATTCCTGATTTTTTTTAAGTTGATGCTTTTGACAGTTGCCTAATAAAAAAAAAAAATCCACTCTTTTTTTTTTTACGCCGAATCAATAATTAGGTCTGAAAATCTTTAATTTACTCCATAAAGTCAAAGTTCAAGTTTCAAATACTGATGTGTTTTTAGCCACGTTTTGACAGAAATATAGTTTAAATACCTCCAGACTATTTTTTAATCACTTTCATCAGTTTATGTTTCTTTATGTTGTATTTTTTGCCTCTCTCAGGACCTGGAAGGATCTGGCCTGCTGGAGGATTTCGGAGGCTCTTCTGGTCCTCAGGTACAGAATAAATCTGATCCATTTCCTCATGTAGCATAATCACTCCACAGGGGCTGACTGCTCACCTTATTTATGTTTATAGGGCCCACCAGGAGTCCCCGGACCTCCGGGCCCCAAGGTGAAATATCTTTGTGTGTGTTCATGTTGACACTTATTTGATTCTGGGAGCGATCTAACTGTCTCTTTCCCCCCTGAAGGGTTTGTTTAATGTTCAGCCGACGCTCAAATATTTTTGCAGACGGACATTTTTATTCACACATAGCTCAACTTTCTTGTTTGTCCCGTCTTTATTTCCCCCTTCATGCCTGCTACAGGGAGCCGATGGTTCGGAGGGGAGCCCGGGAAAGCCAGGTCAGAAGGTGAGCCTGATATCTGCTGCACCAAATCAGACAAGCTTCTTAACACTGTCAGTAAAACGCTGTGAGATGAGCCCTGGTTGTGACACGGCTCACCAGATTCCAGCCACATGCGGCTCAAGATACTGTTCGGATTCTGGCTCCTTGCTGTCTGACCCGAACTCTGAGGGGAAGAAATGAAACCAAATCACAGAGGCACAGAGAAACATTTCTGTTTTGTGTTCATCTCTGAGTGACGGCGTTAAATTCTGGAGATTTGTTCATTATGCAGGTGTTGTTTTGTGTCTGCAGGGGGAGCAAGGTGTTAGCGGACCACCGGGACTTCCTGGTCTGGATGGAATGAAAGGAGAAAAGGTTTTTATTTTTATCACAAATTATTGCATACATAGCCAGAAGATTGAAACTTTATTCTATTTATTTGTATACTTATGTGTGCTTGTATCCTTTTATTTTAAATTATTATAATTAATACTGTTATTTTTTTCTTTTTTTAATTGAATCTTGATTTGATTTATTTATTTGTGGTCCTCGGACTGATTTTGTGCGACTGCAATTCAAAAATGATATATAAAGGGTCGTATAGTAAAGGTGTGGCTAAGCTCTTAAGCCACGCCCCTATTTTGGTGTGCGACAAGCCCCAAAAAGGGGCGTGGCTTAAAGACTTATGAGGAAATGATTGGTATATAAAGGACTTAAAAACAAGAAGCACTTAACAATTAAATCACGAAAGTTACAGTAAGAATCTCATCAAAATAAAAGGAAACAATAAAATTTAGCAGAACAAAAACAATGCCATACATGAAAATACATTTATTTTTGCTTTGACTTGTTGTGTGTGTGTGTGTGTGTGTGTGTGTGTGTGTGCGCGTGCGTGTGTGTGTGTGCGCGTGCGTGTGTGTGTGTGTTCACAGGGAGCAAACGGGAACAAAGGAGATCCAGGAATAAAGGTGAAACAATCAATTACCAATAGATGCATAACTACCAGTGTTTATAACCGAGATAAAACAAACTCCCATTGGTCTGTTTCAGGGAGAACGTGGTCGGGATGGAGTCGGTGTGCCTGGTCCTCCAGGACTGCCCGGACCGCCAGGACCGGTTATCAACCTCCAGGATGTAAGCGGCATCAGACTCTCAGATTGTAACACAGAGTCAGGTTCGCCTAACCTCCGGCCATTTTCTTGTTTTCTCAGCTTCTGCTTAATGCTACAGATGGTGCCTTCAATTTCTCAGGAATATTTCAAACTCAGGTTCCTGCTGTGAGTATCATAAGATCAGTTAGTTCTGAATAAAATAACATTAAAAAAGGTTTTGATTTGTGCTTTTTTAATACTTACTTTCCAATATTCTTATAGGGACCAAAAGGTCCAAAAGGTGACGTTGGATTGCAGGGTTTACAAGGACCTCCAGGGATAAAGGTGGATTTTCATACATAATCCTTTTTAAAAAAAATGAGAATGGATGCAGCTTGAACCCAACTTGGTCTGTTGCTGTTCTCCTGTCACTTATTGTTACCTGGTGTGTTTGTCTGCAGGGTGAAAAGGGTGAACCCGGATTCCTCAGCGGCCCAGATGGGTCCCTAATGTCGGATCTGGCTGGAGCGTTGGGAACCAAAGGAATCAAGGTAACAAGTCCTGTCAGCACTTATAAACATTTCACTTGGTTCCCATTCTAACAAGTTAGACTCACAAGTAATGGATGTGAGTGAGATGTTTGGAAAACCTTTAAATCACAGCGCAGTGCGTGTATCCATAGGGAGATAACGGCGTTCCCGGAGCCCCAGGAGTTTCTGTAAGTTTCCCCAGAGAGCAACATGAATTCGGTTTGCAGCTGTAAGTAAAGCTGGATTCTGTGGGTCTTTCACCAACAGGGTCCAGTTGGACCTCCAGGACCAAAAGGAGAAATCGGTTTCCCTGGTCGACAGGTGAGTACCAGGAGTGAAATGTAAAAACGTGCAGCTATTGAATTTAATTAAAAGTTCTCCCAGCGATTGATTTGGTTTCAGTCTGAGATAAAACTTGAACAGTTTGTAGAAAATGTTTCTGTTTTTGTTGGCAGGGTCGTCCGGGGTTACTGGGTCCAAAAGGAGAGAAAGGAGACCCTCATGGCCTACCAGTGAGTTTGGCTCATTTAGCAATGATTCATCCACTAAAATATGACCATGCCATAATTTGTTGCATGATTACAGTGCAATCATAAAGTGTTCACACCTTTACTTCCTAAAACTCATTTACGTGTAGTTTTATCTCAGAAATTGCAGTATTAAAAAGATGAAGAAGCTTTTCCTAAACCAGGTTCTGTCAGGCCCAATCCGATTGCCTGTAATATCTGGTTCAGATTGCTAATCCCAAACCAGCTGCCATTTTTATTAAATGTTTCTACAGAGGGAGAAATCCACGCAGAGTGCAAAACTTCTCATTTATTTACATTATTAATGATAAATGATGTCTTTATTTTAAACAATGTAAAATGTTAGAGAGAAAAAATAAAATTAAAACATAAAAAACAAAACTTAAAGAATAAGAAGAAGCCAAAACTTATAATTGGTGTTTTTCCATTGAACAAATTTATCTTCATAATCCCAAATGCCTGCAGGTTGCAATGGAAACGCAGATAGTGATTAGATGACTCGTGAGATGTAGTCGTTCACTTTGAGGTGGAGCAACGACTGAAAACATTGTTCAGTATATTTTTAGAAAAAATTATAAAATACTTTTTCCTTCTGCTCCCTTTCAGGGGCCTCCTGGGCCTCCAGGACCCCCAGGCAAGCCAGGAATGTTCAACTGCCCCAAAGGAGTAAATATCCATCTATTTGATTTTTTTCTCAACTGTTTGTCGTTTTTTTTTAAAGCTCACCATCATGTTTCTCTTTATTTTTGAAGACAGTGTTCCCCATCCCTCCCAGACCTCACTGCAAAATGCCTGTAGGTTACAGTCATGTGAACGAAGCATGGCTCAATTAACCGTTTTGTTTTTCACGTTTTAACCTTTTAGAGTTTGGGTTTGCCTGCCTGCCTGGTTTTCATCATTAATCCTCCCAGTAATGTGCATGTTCTTCTCACACTAACCGACCTTTCATCGCTTAGAAAGTCTTCAGGATGCCTCTGAAATATTGCTGCATGCTGCATGGGAGCAGCGGGAAGGTGAAGGTTCAGTGCCGCAGGTTGACAGAGGTAGAAATGAAACCACATCCAGTTTGACGTTGCATGGACTGTAGCTCATCATGGAAAGCATGATTGGATTTTCTCATTATTACAATTATTACTTGATTTTTACATATTTTAAATCATTGTTTGCAGCTTCATCCCAATGGAACAGTTGCGTCAGGTCTGTTTGACTTTCTTTTCTTACGGCCTGAATTAAAGACGGGAAGACAACAGAAGTCATGTTGAGTTTTTTCTATTTAAGGAAACTGCCGTCAAGGAGCAAAAGGAGAGAAGGGGGAGAGAGGACTTCCAGGGTTACCAGCCCCACAAAGTAAGTAGAAAACAGTTTTTTATTAAAAATTAAAACAAATAATGAGATTTGAATGTTTGAGATTTTGTTTGTGCAGCCCAGGCTTATCACTGTAACACATTTGGCTGTAATTATTGCTATAAATGATAATGTTGCTGATTTGAAACCATGTTCAATGACAGAATAAAGAGAGTTCACCCTGTCAAAGACCAAGAATGTTTAATTTTGTAAAGAAAACTGGAATATATTTTAATTATTCAAAATAAAACCCAACAACAGAAACTGAACAATATAAAGAAAATATAAACCATTACAACTGAAACCATAAATGAAATGGATTATAACATCAACAAAATTGACCTCTAAGCAACACTAATCATCAAACGGGAAATTATTTAGCTTATTTTAATTGATCATGCGATCATTAATTGCTTGTTGAACAGGCTTAGATGGTTCAACTAAACTGGGTTCTGAAATATTCTGGGACTCTTAATGACTAAAAATATGGAGAATCAGTTTTCAGTTTTTATCCACCGCAAATCTGAAACAAACTTCCAGAAAACTGCAGAAACACTGACTTCCTTTAAATGGAGGCTAAAAATCCACCTGTTTTGATTAATAACTGAATATTGATCAGAGTATTTGATGTGTATTTGCTGGGTGATTTTGATGATGATATTGCTTGTTTTACAATTTATGTTTTTATTGTGTGAAGCACTTTGACAAACTTAACTTGACCTAAAAGCCATTTTCTGCTTTTTTCTTTTCCTTTTTAAGGTTCATTTCTCCCCTCAGGAGGATGGGTAAGTTTCTCTCTGTCACTTGTTTTCTTCCGCTGATGTTCCTGACTTGTGAATTTCTCCTGTGTGTCTTTACAGCTGACTAAAGGTGACCAAGGCATGAAGGGAGAGAAGGGAGAAAAGGGGGAGGCCGGGTTCCCGGGCCAGCCAGGAATACCTGGGAGGTCCGGATTGGTGGTGAGTCGTCATTTGTTGGGTTTCTGCTTGTTTGTAAAATATATATATATATAATCAGTAGCTTCCTTTCCAGGAGTAGAGGACTAATTAATCAGCAAGATCGGTTGTCATAGCAACCTTCCAGACCTCTCCGGTCTTCTGGTTCTGGTTCTGCATCACCAGAACCAAACCTGGAGAAGCAGCATTCAGCTTCTATGCACCACAAACCTGGAACAAACTTCCAGAAAAGTGCAAAACAGCTGAAACACTGAGTTCCTTTAAATCTAGACTAAAACCCTCCAGTTTAAAGTTGATTTTATTAATAATAAACCAACATTTTGATGTTTAATGACGACTTTTGGGCAAATTTAATGTTTCAGTTACTGATTTTTGTGTTTTTATGATAGAAAGCACCTTGAAATTTGCCATACAAATAAAATTGTATTTATTTTTTTCTTGATGTCATTTAGGGACCTAAAGGGGAGTCGGTGCTTGGACCACCTGGGCCTCCGGGGATGCCCGGCCCACCTGGGGCTCCAGGCTATGGCAGACCCGGTGCCGTCGGTCCTCCTGGTCCTCCAGGACCACCTGGACTACCACTAAGATACGGCTCAGGTAAAAACCTTCTAGGATTGTATACAGAAGACATTATGCATGTGTGATGTCCTTGTTTTGTGAAATATTATACAGAATAAAGTTTTAAAGTATCATCAGAGCTGGTGATTTTTAAATAAATAGTTTATTCTAGAAACAAATGTATTTATCTCATTGAAATACTTATCTGGACCAATGAAGGATAAGAAATTCGCTCAAATGTAACCAAGTTTATCTATTAATGTTAATGAAGAAAGCCTTCCTTCATAATCAATGCTAACTGTTGTGGTTCACCAGCTGTGGCCATTGCTGGCCCTCCTGGACCTCCGGGACCACCTGGAGCCCCTGGGACTTCAAGTAACTCTGCGTTTGTAAGTTTATCTATCACGTCAAATATTTTTATTCATTTTTAACATCAGTCAGATGTGAAATTAAGTATTTAATTGAACACACATGCAACAGAATCCGCTAATAGCAGAGAAAATTTTTTGTTTAGCTCTTTTGCTAACTTACTTAGCTTCCCGTAAGTCAATTTTTCCAGATAAATTGTAAAGCACAAATAATTTTTTTAAGTTTTATCTATAAACTTGATTAAAGTTGTTACTGACTGCTAAGTATTCTTTGGGTTGGACGAAGAATACTTAGCATGTTCATGCTCTTATTTTGAAGTGGGTGAAGACTGTTAATGTTCTCCACCTGTGGTGCTACAAATGTTTATTTTATACCCAGAATGCATTGCTGTAGCAAGAACAGCTTAAAATCTACTGATTTCCTGCCAAGTCCTACTGTGTTAAATCAGCAACAGAGTTAGCGAAACTCCACAAGAATAAAACTTTAACATAAGTGAAAGGTCTGTTCCAAAGAATCACTCTCTGAGCTGCAAACATTCAGCTGCGTGTACATTAACACATTTTAATCCACTGAGGGTGATATATTATATTCTATACATGCTAGGTGTTGATATGGTTAAATTTAGCATGTTAGCTTCTGCAAAGTGCTATGTTGTTGTGTTATTTAGCATTACAAGGTTAGCCCTTTAGTTAGCGATGCTTACTAGCGTGCCAAATTGATCTGTAGATCAGATCAAAACTCTTTTGATATTAAAGTGATAAAAGTTTATACTTTTATATGTATTTTATAACCTTTTATGTAAATGTGTGGACATTACTGTAGGCTGCTGAGCCTACAAATGAGCTCCAGCCTGTTCCTTTTTTTTGTAAATTACGGCTTTGTAAATGGTAAAGTAGTTTTTTTTATTTTTTTATTTTGAAACGCTGTTAATTTACCAAAAATAAAATGAATCTGAATCTTTCACCGAATTGTCCAACTGTTTTTAGCTGAAAACCTTTTCAACTCGAGAGAGCATGATGCAGCAGACGTCGAGGGACGAAGAGGGAACTCTGGCTTACGTCAAAGCAACAGGAAACCTCTTCCTAAAGGTTCCCCAAGGCTGGAAGCAAATACAGGTACCAGCAAAGAGTAATGGCAAAAAAAGTTTATGTGGGTTATGTTTTAAACATTGCTATTAATCCAATAGCTTTCATCCTGGAATGAAAGAAGCATTTTTGCCAAACACTTTTCTTTCTTGCTGTGAATCATCAGAGAACATTTGTGAAGGTGAACCAGCCGGTTTGAGGGAATGATTAATAATGTTGTGCTGCTGCTCCCGTTTATAAAAATCATTGACCTCATATGCTGTGTGTGCTGAAGCATTGTGGCAGTTTGACTTTGGAAGCTTGTTGAATCGCACAATAAATGTTGGTTTTATGTTGTTGGTTTTATCGTCCTGAACGAACGTGAGCCAAATAGGTCAAAATATGAACGTGATCTGTTTTTCCCCTCAGCTGGGCAGCCTCATCTACCTCTCCAGTAACATCATCCCCCAAGATGAGGTACATGCAGCACTTTTTATTTCAATATTAACTGCAACCTGGCGTATTAGAGCCATTGTAGATCGAAAAAAAAAAAAGGAAGAGTACATTTTTACCAAAAAGATTAATTTCAGACATTTTCTAAGAGTTTGGAAAGCCAAAACATATTCTAGGAAAAATATCCAAAAATTTCAGATGAATTTTAGAAATTTTCTAGAAAAAAAAACTAGAAATTTGAGTTTCAAAAGTTGAAAATTTTCATTATTTTTCTAGAAAAATTCTGAGACTAATCTCAATTTCTGAGTTTTTTCTAGCAAATTTTCAACTTTTTAGACTTATAAATGTTCTTGTTTTTTTTTCTAACCCTTAATAATCTTCCTTTTCTTTTTCCTTTCTACAATGGCCCTAATATTCTGTCTTACCAAGTGTTGTAATGTTCTTCTAAATCCTCTTGTTAACTGTTCATTCAGCCTCGAGTTGCATATCAAGTAAGAGGAGAGACGATGCAGAGAGTCCGTTCAGTCAAAGAAAGGGTAAGCTCAGGATTCAGGTTGGTTTTTTGGTCTGATTTTCTTTCCAGAACTTCTCAGAGCTGATCTTTTTGTTTATTTGTTCCTCACCCATTAGCTAAACTTGGTAGCGTTGAATCAGCCGCACTCAGGGAACATGATGGGGCTCGACATGGCTGACCGGATGTGTTATGAGCAGGCCAAGGCCATGGGTTTGTCTCCCAACTACCGCGCCTTCATTTCATCCCACAAGCAGGACCTGGTCCATGTCGTCTATCCCGGTTTCCGGGACTCGCTGCCAGTAACGAACCTCAGGGTGAGTGGGCTCTCCATGCTTAAAAGAAACGAACAAAACCTGAATAAACTGCATTAAATGAATATTTCCCCTCAGGGAGACGTGATGTTCAGGAACTGGCAGTCCATCTTCATCGGCAACGGCGGACCAGTGAATCCCAGGATACCCATCTACTCCTTTGATGGCCGGGATGTTTTAGCTGATCCTTTCTGGTGCGTGAACCCACATGATGGGTGTATGTAAACTTCTGGCCAGCTTATAACGCGGGTGATATTCTCTGTCCGATAGGCCCAAGAAGAGCATCTGGCACGGTTCCACCAGCAGGGGTCTCAGAGTGGTCGACAAACACTGCGAGACGTGGCAGGCGGACGACTTCTCCGTCATGGGCCAGTCGTCCAGCCTGACCTCAGGGCTGCTGCTCGGCCAGCAGACCAGAAGCTGCTCCACCGAGTTCATCGTCCTCTGCATCGAGACCTACAAAAACTCCTAACTCACTCAGACAAAACCCAACTTGGACGTAGTAAACATTAATGACTCCTTGAGGACATAATTTTAGCCGTTTGTGGTTTTAAACCAACGTCATCTTTTAGTTTCCTGACTTCTGAGATCAGTTAGAGGACTACTCTCTCCGAACAAGAATCACAGAATGTCTTTATTTATTACGAAGCAAGTCAAAGATTTCCAACCGGGTGGCACATACAGCGATGCAGGATAAAACACAGAGGTTTGACACTATGAACGAATAAATGCATACTCAGTGACAATGAAGTTAAACATGCAACACTGCATGGATATAAAGTAGCACATATTCCTTCTTTTATACGTTAGATCAAAAATACAAGATCAGTGACTGAACCTTGAGGCCTACTTCTCTATTTGTTTAGAAAAGGGTTGTTTCAAAAGGTTTTCTTAGTTTTTTTCTACTTCATGGAAGACCAGATAGCCAATGTTGCCACCAAAGACATTTGTGATGCACTGTACTTTTTTGTTTTTTGTTTTTTATCTAGTTCTGTGTTTGTTTGATGACCATTCTTTTTAGGAACTTTCTCTTTAAAGGACTTATTTAATTTAAATCTATTGATTTATTTATGCTGTCACAGCACATAAACATCAGACAATAAAAATTGAGAATGTAATTTATCATCTGTTTATTGACTCTCTCTCTTCTAGATTTGGTCTATTTTTGTATGTTCTTTAGCAAGATAGAAGTATTTGAGTGTCAATAGAAGATGATAAATGTATCAAACCATGCAATACAAATTCATGTTTGAAAGGACAAAACAAAGTGCAAATGTGAGAGCGCATGTTTTGTACAAAATACAAATATTTGTGGTTTTGGGAATAAAGCTATTTCTTTTCATAAATTGTTGTTATAGATGTGTGTGATGGGGATTCAGTGAAAAATCAAGCAGGGAAAATTTTAACTGCAGACTTTTTTAGTAAAACTTTTAGTACCGACGACTAAATGTCTAAATCAAAACAACTTAAAATAAAACTGAAAAGGAATATTAGCCTTGAGGAATATCACTGTAACTGAAGATATTGAAAAGAAATTGGAACAAAAATTGATAGTGAAAAATATGAAGTGAAACTGAAGTTTTCACACTTTTTCCTCACTAACAGCTTGTTTTTAAGTGCAGCTGCTTTCAGATTCAATTCTGACATTTTCGGCATTCCATAATTTCAGACGTCAATGTTAAAATGTTCAGATCCAATAAAATGTTTATACTTTTATTGGTTTAGTTTCATTTGAAGCCGTCATCATTTTTAGGCCTAATAAGAATGATACATATATGGAATCAACTCAATGTAAATTTTAGTTTTTGTTTCATTTTAAAATTTTTCCCAAAGTGGAGAAAATTTCTGTTATAGTTTATATGAAATAACTTTTTTTTTAAAGTAAAATTAGCTTAATTTCTTCTAAAACCAGAAAAAAAGATTATTTAGATGGAAAATAGTATCCAGTGTGAAATCTAAACATTGAATACATTTATTGGCTTAAGGAAAACAAATTGTTTACTTATGGGCCAGGTGATTTTGTTCACACGGTTTTCTTTTTGAAAATCCACAATCAAAATCTGTGCTTTTATTCTGAAAGCCATAAGCGGAAGGGAGAAGAATGAGTTTATCAACATCTAGTTCCTCGCTGGACGCTGTGACACGTTAACGTCTACAAAAATGTTTACTTTACTTCTGTTTATTTTGCTTATTAGTCTCCCAATTTGTTCACCAGCTGATAGAAATGACGAACCCATAATCGGTGAGTTTATTACTGTGTAAATTTACAGTTTCCGGTTACTAAAACCACGCAGCAGCTACCTGCGGAGTTTAAACGTCGAGTCATGTTTGTTAGCGTTCGTCTCTTGCTGTAGGTGTTCTGGCTCAGGAGGTCGTCTCCCCGAAACCGAACCAGACGGCCTACATCGCTGCCTCCTACGTGAAGTTTCTGGAGGCTGCTGGAGCCAGAGTTGTACCTGTCATGTGAGTTGTTGTTTTCTGGACGCTTCTTTCGGCCATTTTAGCGGTAATAAACACCGGTATGAACTTTAATATCATCTGGTTACAGGATTAACAAGACACTGGAGGAATACAAGACTCTGTTCAGCTCTATTAATGGGTAAATAATAATTATGTTAAGCATATTGGCTCTGATTTCAAGTATGATTAACTACTGTTTCTAATTTGTTGCTGATATATTTTACAGTTTACATTATAATCCTATTTTTTCAAGCTTTTAATATGCTTTCTTCACTAGATTCATCGATATGGCAAGTCAGTTTATCATATAATTAGAACTGGTGCCTCTCAGCACCAAGGGCAAAAATAAAAGAAACCAAACCATCAGAGGACAAATATTTGTTTATTCAAAGTATGATTTAAAGTAATTGCCAAATGTACTATATAAAACAGTGATAAATCATCTTCTTTGTTTTATTGTTACCATAATTAGTAGGCTTGTTACAATAACAAATTTTGCTGCACAAATTATTGTAATAAATATTGTTTTTAAACCATTGTCAAGCAATATAGTGAGAATGGTATAATGATGCAAGTTCACCCTCTCAAAGACCAATAAACTTAATTTAGTAAGGAACCCTGAACATTAGATCTAGAAGGCATTTTAAATATCGAAAATAAAACTAATAAAAACCACTTACAGCTGAAATCATAAATAAAATTTATTATGTTTCTGTAAACAAAATTGACCAAGAAAAAATATTGTCAGCTCATTTTAATTTATCATGCGATTAATTGCCTAATCAAGGCAAACTTAATAATTACCATCACAAAAGAAATTAATCTTTTGTATCTGGGTTCAGTTTATTCACAAATAAATCTCAGGAATTATCCTGATTCCACCAAATCTGTATTTTAAGTCTGTTAGCGGCGGTGGTGGTTTGAACAGGAAGTGGGCCCCCATGCATGTCTGGGTCAGCCCTGGGCCCTTGAAATGTATTGAACACCTCTGTAGGAAAATTAGACCAGAGACAGAAAAGGTGACACAACTAATTATGAAGTGCATTTCCCTTGAGAAATAAAAATAAGATTTCAAACAGCATTTTGTATTTTCTCCCTTTGTCTGATATTTAAATGTATTTGAGCTTAAAGATTTAAAGTGTGACAAAAAATAATTTATTCTATTTCATGTTTGTGTTTCAAACTACTTATAATCCTCCTCTTGTGTGTTTATTTAAATATTAAAATTTCAAGTAAGACTTTACAATCTCCCGTACAATAAAAATTATGTGCGATTAAGAGTATGGTATGACACGACATTCTGCCTTATTTTATTGATTAAGTTATGAAAACTGATTTAAATTGGCACCATACTGGGAAATTTATAATGAGCCTATTTCTGTTTTTATTTTTACTGCTCTATTTTCAGGTTTTGATTGGGTTTGTGTGTTTTGTGTGGCAGGATCCTGTATCCAGGCGGTGGAGTCAGCATCATCTCGTCCGGCTACCAAAGAGCTGCCAAAATCTTCTACGATCTGGCCATAGAGGTGAAAGGTTAACCTGCTGGTAGCTGTGTTGTAGTGTGTAGATGGAACAGTTCGTTTTTACAGTGTTTGGTGTTCCAGGCGAACAAGAGGGGCGACTATTTCCCGGTGTGGGGCACCTGTCTGGGTTTTGAACAGCTCATGTATTTGACGAGTGAAAAGAGTCAGCTGTCGCACACCAACACCAGCGGCGTCGCTTTGCCCCTGAACTTCACTCCAGGCGCGTCTACGTGTTACTTATTTTGGATATTAGGTGGTTTAATTCATGTCAGAACTAAATAAGTGCTGCTAAACCGTTTATTTCATGAAGTTATACTCCAGTATAAAATGATGGTTAAGTTGCTGTAAGAACGACTGATGATGGTTGTTTGCTCTCCAGAGGCGAAAGGCAGCAGGATGTTTGAGGCCTTCCCTCCTGACCTCGTGTCGGCTCTGTCCGCCGAGCCGCTCACAGAAAACTCCCACCAGTGGAGCCTCGCCACGCTGGTAGGCGGACCCACACCGAAGGGACCTCAGGGCGTCCGCTCAGCGTTTCAGTGATCTGAGGCGGGAAAAGGAGGATGGAAACAACCATCCATCCGTTCATCTGTTCATCCATCCATCCATTCATCTGTTCATCCGTTCATCTGTTCATACATCCATCTGTTCATACATCCATCCATCCGTTCATCCGTTCATCTGTTCATCCATCCATCCATTCA